GTCCTAGGCTTCCTGTATTGAATTGGTGGCAGGGGGGAACTATCCCACAATCCCGGTCTTGCTCTCTGGGACGTCACATCAAGCCCTTCAAGTTTGCAACTCCCTGATCTTACTGCTGGCCCGTCTTCGATAGTACTCCACTGCTTCCGACGTGGTCGGAGTAGCATCTGCGAGAGCAACAAGCTTGTTCCCATCCTCTGTTGGCTCGCGTAGGAAACGTTCGAGGGTGTTTTGTGGTGCCCCGGTGGCGGTGTTTGGGTTATTCGTTGGAACGGAAGAAGTGGTGGCACTGGCTGTCGTGTGGCTATTTTGAGAAGGTTTCGCGATTAGCAAGCTGCACGTATGACCTTATCCATGTCGATTGGGAATAGAAACTCACACCGACTGCTATCTACTACGTAAGCGTTATGCCAAGTGGAAGATGTTCGAGAAATGCAGTGATGAAGGGTAAAATGTCCAGGATTATTTGTCAAAGTTCTGATATTGACGCACCGAATTGTCGAGTAAATGCCATGGGACGATGTCCTGTTCTTTGAGAAGACAGGTTACGATCATGGTGCTCCAGGGCTGTATAAATACTCTTCACTATCACGGATGGAAGATATCAGCACAGAAGGATGTGACGGGGAAATTAGCGGCAAGGACGGTTCGCTTCGTGAACCCCCAACGAGCTCGATCGATGCGTCTGTGGAAGCGGTTGCCCAATGCACGGGGATAGGAAACGGTTGTTGTCGTCCAGCATTGACAGAACATGAGCCACGTGGTGGTTGAACAAGTCGCTCGACCCTGTCAGAATCACGGAAAGCCCCTTTTTGGTCGAGCCCCATAGATACCAAGGCAAACACTTTTGGGCTGGCTGCCTGACCTCAGCGAAATACGCGTTCACGAAGATGGCGTTCGTAATGGAAGATGATTGAACATAGTCGATAAGTTATGCAGAGTCTATAAGCAACGTATATGAGGGGCACTATGTGGGCATAAAGATGGTGATGATGGACAAAAGTGTAACACATTTTTGAAAGTCTTGTAGGGTGTGGTCAAGGCATATGGCAGGACGAGACGTATGATTGTTCGGATCTTTCTGCGGAATAAGCAATATTTTCTTTACCTGTAGAGCCATGGTCTTTTCGCTTGCATCTTGATCTCGTGAACAATTGAAACAGCACTGTTCGAGCATGTTGCCTGATGGAATTTCAGATGCAAGAGACAGGCCCAATAGGCTTGCGCCTTCACACAGGACGCATCAGGCAGTTCTGAGGCCTCCACTGGAAGTATTCCTGGAGCCATCTGCTCATGTCCTATATGAGAACTTGGGATGGTGTGCATAGAAGCCTATGCTGAGAGCACAAATCAGATATGAAGGGGAAGTGAATATCATCGGATGCTCCCTTTCCAAATGAGGGAGGAAATAGCCAGGTGAATTGAGAAAGATTCAGGCATAACATGCTGTACCTGGTAACTCGCTAGGAAAAACAACAACAAAACCTACGAATGTGATGGTTCGCCATCTGCCGCTTGGCTTGCCATCGTATGAGGGGGTTGAGTGAGGCTGGCTAGCTTCTGAACGAAGGCAATTCTGACTCTGGGGCAAGTTGTTGAGGGCATTGGGTGGGAAAGGGGCGTCGTAGGGATCATGTGTTGAGGCCTCACCGAAGACTGCGAAGCCTGGAAATTTCTCTCGCATGTGATGTCGTGATGCCTCCCTTACATTACAGCTTCATTTGTTGTTGTGACGATGTCTGTCGGGCGGCTGGCTGATCCTCCCTTGCCAGCTAGCCTTCGGTTCTTTTCGGATCATGTTCGGTGTTCGAAGGAGGGGTGGCTCTACTCGAAATGCCAAGCTGTAGAAGTGGACAGGTTGCTGGAAGTACCGTCATGTGCCGTCATGTCCCTCGACTTCGTGTTGGCTCACGTGATGTGAGTTGTCATGTAAGTCGAAGTTGAGGCCCGGTATGGTGAATCTGTTGCAAAATGGAAGGCGGGAGTAGGACGTGTATGGGGGTAAAGTAAATGCCGAATCAAATTATAAGATGAGTAGATATAAAGCTCAAGAAACGATAACGTTGGAAGAATAGGAAGGTATGATGAGGGTAGAGAAGAGGAAAATGCATGCAGACAGGCGGGTGAAGGAGCTGCCATTCTATATCTCGTTGACCTGAACCCAGAACGACGCAATGTATGCTAAGCCTCCGAAGGGTTCCGTGATAGTTGATGCAGAGGAATTGCGTCTCACTGGATGTCATCCAATAGACTACTACTTTCCAAGATAGTCTCTTGCATTCTGTCCCTTTTGTCTCTCGGATCGTTTGAGACAATGTGGGTGTCTAAAGTAGGGAGACGTTCTATTTCCGCTTTTAGCTAGCCTCAATCTGCAAGTTCAGGATCAGAGACATGGCGGCTGCCAGAGATATGTTGACTGTTCATCACACCATATAAGATTGCGCTTTCATCCTTGAAAAAAGAGGCCTAGTTGGATACAAGCTCACCGTCGAGACAGAAGACATGACCTCCGTGTTGGCGGTGTGGAATTTTCCCTGCCTCTGTGAAATACCTACACTTGATATGTAACTGAATGATGACAAAATGGAACGACGGTCTGGAATGATAGCCATCCAACATTCCGCCCTTCAGCGGGTTGTCACACATGGCTGCAACACTTCCAGGCTTGGGAGGGAGGGAGGATACTAGTTCTTGTCGGTCCTCGTCGTCCTCGTCATCCTTACCGTCCTCGTCGTTCTGGCGATGCATGGTAGCTCAGGCTGGTGTTGTGTTATAGCACTGCCCATGATGTTCATGAAGCTTTCAACCACGCCAATGAATAGGAAAACAACGTGGATTCTGAAGATTAAGTCGAGGATGAACCGTTCTTGTCTTTGGTGCAGATTCTATGCTGTATCGCTTACTCAACCCCACAATCCCACCATAAACTTCGGCCCCATCACATCATCAACCAAATTCAACCGTCCACTAATGTTCCCCTTCATCTGCAATCTCATATGAGTCCTCCTAGCAGCCCTCTCTGCCTTCTGCAACTGCTTATGCTGCGTCAACAACAAACTCCTCTGTTCCGCAGCCGGAAGGTGGGCTAAGGCCATGCGATCGTTGGCACTCAACCGCCCAAGCTGTGTCTCAAACACAGCCTCGCGCTTCTCAGCACGCGTAAGCGCCTTGGAGCTACTCTTCTTCCCGGGTGCGGTAAGCTGCATGCTCGCCTTGGACTCGTCCACACCCGCGCCCTCCGGGAGAAGGTTGTCACCAGACGATGCCTCGCCAAGCTTCTTGCGAGGACGCGATGGTCCTGGGGCGGAGCGGTGGGAGAGCGTCTTTCCAGAGGGTAGGCGGATGGAGCTGCCCTCTTCGATGGCGTCCGCGATGGCCTTGCGTGTCTTGCCTGCCTCTTCTGCTTCCTCCTCATCGACTGCGGGTTTCTCATAAAAGTCTCTGTATTCTGAGTCTTCAGCGTTGATATCGAAGCGGCAGTGGTTTTTGCCCTTCATGTGTTGTTGGACCGCGGCGGGCGTGCGGCGTTGCGTTCCACACTGGAGGCATTCGCGGTACCCGAAGACGACGAGGTGGAGGTATCGCACCAGAGTCTCGAGATCGACGAGGAGTCTCTCCTTGTCGGGGATGAACATGCCATGTGACTTGTGCATGTGCGCGACATTCTCCTCAAAGTTTTCTGAGACTGTATTACAGAAAAGACATTCCTCGGGGAAGAATTCGGGCTCGGTGTCCGTCTCGACATCGGAGGCGGAGGATGAGGAGTCTTCCGATGAGGGCTCCGTGGTGGGGCTAGTCGGGGCGGCGGCCACCACAGCGGCGTGTTGATCCGCTGTGAGGGGTTCCAGCTCGGCGATGCGGCGCTTGAGATTCGTGACGTGCCATTGGCTTTTTGAGTGTGCTCGGCGAGTATCTGGGTTGTCGAACCGGACGTCGCATGTGCCACAGAATGTTGCGGAGAGCTTGAAATGGGATGTGGTCGGTTGCTCCATAGCTGCGGTTGTGTTGGTGGTGGTGGTGGTGGTGGTGGTGGAGGTGTTAGTCGTTGTTGCGCCGACCATTAGATGCGTTTGCGTTGAACTCAGGACGGGTAAACTGGTGATCACTGTGAGTGGACTTGAGTGCTTGATTTGTTTGGTGATTTGAAGCTGTCTACGACGAAGAACTGGTCTGCTTTATACTTTAAGGTACTACCTGGAACAGAGCCCGTGGCGGAAGATATAACGCTGAGGCTCAAGGATGGCCGAGACTTCTCGATCCACAGCCACATCTCAACTTCAATTGGCGAATCAGAATTATGTTACCAAACCATTGCCGAAGCAAACTCATTTCGACATCATCCATCGGTCGACACCTCGCTGCAGGACAATTCCTCTGAGTCAAAATGCGGAGCCTGTTTGGCAGTATTGAGTCGGCTGCGATACTGATCACCAACAGGATTACTGGGTGACAGCGGTTTCTGTCAAGTCTATTCGATAGGGGGACTGGTAACACATCAGATTGGACAAAGGCGCTGAAAATGAGTCACCCACCATCATGTTTAGGGGGGCCGAGACCTGCCTCTTCGGGACTGGTCTGGGGTACCAATTGAATGAGCCATCATGAGTCGACCCACTGGCGGTCCGGGTGACAGGGGGGCGCAGTCGACCGTGCCGAAGTCAATTGCGGGCTGGCTTTCGGGATGCAGGGTCCATAACGGCGACAAGCACAACCAGCCAAGGAGATGATTATTGTCCAGTTTCCAATATTGCGCGTCGCAGATTCGACACGGTGCTTCACTGGATAATTGAGAACAAAGGTAATGAACTTGGTATCGAATGACTTTTTACCTGCATGTTTCTACTCCCCCTCGCTAGTTCTTCAGAAACCACATCATGCTAGACCCTCTACCTCTCTCCTCTAGCAACACATGACATGAATCAAATCCGCCGTTGGTCTCGTTATCCGATAATGTCCCAAAATGCTCAACCCGCAACTCCTCTGAATAACATCCCCATCTTTTAGTAGCTGCGTCCGAACATGACCCACTCCTTGGCGAAGTCCTTGCAGTCGGGGTTCAGACACTTGGTCTCGCCAGCAACGAGGCCCTCGGGCTGATCGAAAGGACGGCAGAGGGACTTCATGCCCATGGTAGGCTGCTTCTTACCCTCAGGAAGGGTGGCGTTCTCAGGGGGCTCGCTGTTGGTCAACTCCTTGATGCGGTCCTCGCACTTCTCAGCCAGGCAGTGGGGGATGACGACCACGTTCTTGGTGTCCAGGGCAGGGATAACCTTCTCCCAGTCGTTGAGAACCAGACGGTGCTCGTCGAAGGACTTCTTGGCCTTCTGGTACATGTCGGACTGGATGGTCTCGAGGAGCTCAGGGACCTTGGTGGAGAGCTCGCCCAGGGGGATGGTGCCCTTCTCACCGGTATCACGGCGAGCAAAGCTGACAACCTGGTTGGCCATGTCCTTGGGGCCGAACTCGAGACGGAGAGGGACACCGCGCAGCTCCCAGTCGTTGAACTTCCAGGCGGGAGTGTAGCCCTCCCTCAAGTCAGACTCGGCGCGGAGGCCGGCCTTGCGCAGCTCGTTGCGGAGGTCGTCGGTCTTGCCCTCGAGCTTCTCACGGTCCTCGGGAGTGGTCTTGGCAGTGATACCGACGGCGATGAGGATGACCTGGGTCTTGGCGATGCGAGGGGGGAGGACGAGACCCTTGTCGTCACCGTGGATCATGACCATGACACCAATGACACGGGTAGACAGACCCCAAGAGTTCTGCCAGACGTGGATCTTCTCGCCCTTCTTCTCGGGGTTCTCGACGGTGATGTCAAACATCTTGGAGAAGTTCTGACCCAAGCAGTGAGAGGTGGCACCCTGGATACCACGGCCGTTGGACGGGATATAACCCTCGACAGTGGTAGTGTAGTAACCACCGGCAAACTTCTCCTTCTCGGTCTTGGTGCCGCGAACGACGGGGACGGCGAGAAGCTCCTCGTAGACACCAGCGTAGAGCTCGAGAATCTCGCGGACCTCAAAACCGGCAAGCTCCTCGGTAAGGTGGGCGGTGTGGCCCTCCTGCCACAGGAACTCTCTTGTGCGGAGGAAAGGGGTAGTCTGCTTGGCCTCCCAGCGGACGACGGAGTTCCACTGGTTCAGGCGGAAGGGAAGGTCGCGATGGCTGCGAATCCACTTGGAGTAGTAAGGGTACATGACAGCCTCGGAGGTGGGACGAACCGCAACTGGGACTTCGAGGTCCTTGTCACCGCTAAAAAGGTTGTTAGTCGGGGCAGGGGCGATTTCGGAGGGAGAGGTTGACTTACGCCTTGGTGACCCAGGCCAATTCAGGGGCGAAACCCTCAACGTGGTCCTTCTCCTTCTCGAGAGACTTGGAAGAGAGGAAGATGGGGAAGCTGGTCTCGTCGACGCCCATGGCCTCAATGCGCTCGGAAAACCACTTGCGGATGACACCCCAGATGTACATGGAGGCCGGGCGCAGAATGAAGAAGCCAGCAATCTCGTTGTAGTACTCAACCATCTCGGCCTTGAGGACGACCTCCTGGTACCACATGGAGAAGTCCTCATTCTTCTTGACCGTGATGCCGATGATGTCGTCCGTCTTCTTCTTGCCGCCGACAACGGGAAGGGCGGCTTGCTTGGCAGCCTTCGCAGCCTTCTCGGCCGCCATCTTGGCCTGCTTCTCGGCCTTCTTCAAGGCGCTCTTGGATTGCTCGGGGGCAGCAGCGTCGGCCATGTTTGCGATAGTGACTGCGGATCGCAGGTTCGTCACGGGAAGGGTATCGGCTTATAGAACTGGCGGCGTGGTGCCCGGGTCGGCCTGAGTCACTCGAGATTTTGGGCAGAGATGGCGGTGCGATACAGCGGAAAATCTGCCCCGCACTAAAATGTGAGTCGTGTGTCGAGCTGTTGGGCGCGAGGGAGGTGAGGGGTCAATTGGCAGCCACAGGGGACCAGGCCGGGGGCCCGAGCGCTTATCAGAGGTGGGTCTTGTCACTGTGATAGTGGGGAAGCTGCACTGTATTATCAATACCGGAATGGCGGTAGAGCCGTGCTTATCTCCAAGGACGACACAGTCCTTATCGACAGCGCACCTCACCAGCCACAGCTCCCCGGTTCCTGGAACAACTCGGGTCCGAAAAAAAGTTGCGTCGAGGGGACAAGGCAGGCACAGCGCAGAAGCTTCTATTGCTGTCCAGGCCACACCGACGAGCTACCCAAAATCCACCCTCCACCACCTCCCTATCCCGCGATTCACCATTATTGCAGGCAGTGAGGACCCAAAATGGCGTCCATGTTCGAGCAGTCAGGGAGCGGCACCCTTTTCCTCGGTGGCCAGAAGATTTCCGGCGCCGACATCAGAGACCAAAACGGTACGTGACCGCTGTTGTTACTTCGCTTGCTGCGACCCCCGGCTACAGCTTCACGCATGCTGACAAAACAAACTGCCAGTCCTCGCGACCCAAGCTATCGCAAATGTCGTCAAGAGCTCATTCGGCCCCAGCGGCCTTGACAAGATGATGGTCGACGATATTGGTGTATGTTCGACGGCCCCCCTTCCCCCTGGACCCCGCTTAACCCCCGGCGTAGGATGTCACGGTCACGAACGACGGCGCCACTATCCTCAGCCTGTTGGACGTCGAGCACCCCGCTGGCAAGATCTTGGTCGACCTGGCACAACAACAAGACAAGGAGGTCGGCGATGGCACCACGTCCGTCGTCCTCATCGCCGCCGAGCTGCTGCGCAGAGGCAACGAGCTTATGAAGAACCGCATACACCCCACTACCATCATCACCGGCTACCGACTTGCCCTTCGCGAGGCCGTCAAGTACATGAACGAGAACATCAGCATCAAGGTCGAGAATCTCGGTCGCGAATCCCTCATCAACATTGCCAAGACCTCCATGTCCAGCAAGATCATCGGTGCCGACTCCGAGTTCTTCGCCAACATGGTTGTCGATGGCATGCTCGCCGTTAAGACCACGAACAACCGTAACGAGACGAAATACCCCGTTAAGGCTGTCAACATCCTCAAGGCACACGGAAAGGGCTCGCTGGAGTCTGTTCTGGTCAAGGGCTACGCTCTTAACTGCACAGTCGCTTCCCAGGCCATGCCTACAAGAATAACGGACGCCAAGATTGCCGTGTTGGATATGAACCTGCAAAAGGAGCGTATGAAGTTGGGTGTTCAGATTACCGTCGATGACCCGACACAACTGGAGCAGATCCGCGCGAGAGAGTCTGGCATGATCCTGGAGAGGGTAGACATGATCCTGAAGGCTGGCGCCAACGTTATCCTTACTACCAAGGGTATCGACGACATGGTTCTGAAGACTTTCGTTGAGAGGGGCGCTATGGGTGTTCGCAGATGCAAGAAGGAGGACCTCCGCAGAATTGCCAAGGCTACCGGCGCTACCCTTCTCAGCACACTCTCCGACCTCAACGGCGACGAGAAGTTCGACCCCGCGTACCTTGGACACGCGGAGGAGGTTGTGCAGGAGCGCATCTCAGACGACGAGTGCATTCTCGTCAAGGGCACCAAGACCCACTCCTCAGCATCCATCATCCTCCGCGGCCCCAACGACTTCACTCTGGACGAGATGGAGCGTTCTATCCACGACTCCCTCAACGCCGTCAAGAGAACGCTCGAGAGTGGCAGCATCGTACCGGGTGGCGGTGCCGTCGAGACTGCTCTGCACATCTACCTCGAGGAGTTTGCCGGTACCGTCGGTTCCCGCGAGCAATTGGCCATCGGCGAGTTTGCTCAGTCCCTGCTCGTTATCCCCAAGACCCTGGCTGTCAACGCGGCCAAGGACGCCTCAGAGCTCGTCGCCCAGCTGCGCTCTCGGCACGCGCTCTCCCAGCGCATTCAGGAGGGCGAGGGCAACGATGACGAGAAGATTGTCGCCCGCAAGAAGGCGTACAAGAACTACGGTCTGGACCTGACGAAGGGCAAGGTTATTGACGAGGTCAAGGCTGGTATTTTGGAGCCCAGCATCAGCAAGATCCGGCAACTCAAGAGTGCCGTGGAGGCTTGCATCAGCATCATGCGTATCGATACCCTGATCAAGCTGGATCCCGAGCAGAGGGCGGAGGATGACGGCCACGGTCACTAATGCGGCGACGTATATGTGAAAATAAAACAATCAAAAATGGGCCACGTGGGAAGTGATCAAGGTTAGACGGTTCATAGATCATTTGTTAATGATACCTTGCCATGCCAATTTGGACGCTTGTCCTGTACTCCGAATTCCGTTCCGTGTAATGGATTCCCCACAACCGTGATATGCATGTTCCGTGTATGATGATTCGTCGTCTAGCACCAACCAAACTTCTCGTTCAGCACCCACTCCACATCCCCATCGCCGTAAAACATCAGGCTCGCAATGCTATCAGTCTCTCTTTCAACAAACTCGTGGGGGATGCCCGCCTTTTCAATCAGCCCCCTCACTCTGGAGTCGGGGTTCCACAGCTCAATGTTGTTCGACTTCCACTCGGCCGCCTCCGCTCTCGCCAGCGTCAAGAGCTCGTGAATAGCCTCCTGAACATACTCATCGCTGCTGTTTTCATTCTCCATGACCAACCTCAAGATATGCATGGTGTTGCCTTCAGGCTTCTTCAATCCGCCATAGTATCCCCTCGTCCACACCGCCCACACCCTCTCCCCGCGCTCCCCGACAACAGCTCCCCTAACCGTCGGCGTCTTTCCAAAAATGTGCTTGGTCATGAAGTCCTCGCGCATCAGGTGCCACAAGATAGCATCAATATCCGGCAGCAACGACACCCGCGTCTTGCTCCCCTTGGACTCCTTCGACAGCCTCGCCCGCAGCAGCTTCTCGTCGACGTGGCTCAGCTCCGCCAGCTCGTGGTATCCCACCGGCTTCGCCTTGCCGCCCTCCTTCTGTCCCTCGGCCCTGGGCTGCGGCGGGAACGACAGGTGCGCGCTCTCGTAGGGATGCCAGCCCTGCTTCGCGTAGAACTTCTTGCCAATGTCGGAGAAGAGCACGGAGAAGGCGACCTCGCCGTCCCGGATGTCGCCCCACTGCTCGCCCTTGGCCATGCGCGCGCCCTGCCAGCCGCCGAGGCGCGGGCCGAGCAGGCTCATCATGGTGGAGGCGTAGCCCTTGCCGCGGTGCTCGGGCTCGGTGAAGACGGAGGCGATGCCGTGGGCGACGGCCTCGGCGACGGAGCCGTCGGGCTTCGCGGCGAGGGCGCGCTTGCGGATGCTCTCGCACGAGGAGAGGATGGGGCGGGCGCCGGGCGGCAGCGAGGGGTCGGTCAGGATCCACTGGGTGATGCCGCCGTTGCGGCTCATGGGCACGGTGGTGAGGTACTCCTCGCGGCGGAGGTACTCGTCCAGCTCGAGGGCGGCGCCCCATTTCTGGTGCGTCGAGGTCCAGACGCGCAGCCGCTCGGCGGGCGTGGGCGTGGTGAGGATGAGGTCGGCCTCCTGCGTCGAGCCCATGGTGCCTATCTTTCTGCGCGGTGTCTGCTGGGTTTGGTGTTGTTGTTTCTTGCCAATTGGGTCCCGCTGTTGGTCAGCTGCTTCGACGGGAGAGTTGGAATGTGGGAGAGACAGAGTCACGGCATCGTAGAGGCACCAGAGGTGGGTGGGAAGGACAAAGCACAGTCCTTATCAAGACATTTGGGGACCTTTCTTTCGGGGAGAGGTGCCCCACCAAAGACGATCGCGGCGATGGCGGGGAAGACCCAGCGAAACCCCAGGATTGAGACAGGCCCAATTCAAGCCTCTACCTGGCATAAGGTCCAGGCGGCCTTGCAAGGGGAGGGACCACGGGGGGTGGAGGCGGCCCCAGCGATACGGGACGGCGCAATGTAGCACGTTTTGGGAGGGGGAGGAGGGACATCGCAGGGCCCAGCGCAGCGCCAGCTCGGATTCGAGACACAAAGAAACGTGGATTCGGGAGAGACGGGTGTGGTAAAGGTACACTAACACGCCCGTCTCACCAGCCTGCAGGAAGGGTCAAGGTCAGCAGGCCCACGCGAACGTGATGAAGGCAAGCCAAGCGGGTGCTCGTCTTACGTCACGGGACGAGGCTAGCGGTGAAGTAAGGAAGTCTGGCTTCGAGAAGTGATACTGTTTGGGTTCTGGTACATACAGTATGTGTATTGCGTGTGTTGTGTAGGTGCAGTAGGCAAGGTACTTTTCTTCATTTGAAGGTCCCATGTTGCTTGCCTGTTTCGAAGAGTGCAGTGCCTTGGAACTCTAGGCCTGTTTTTTTAGGTAATTATTTGGCAACTGGGTCCCCCTCTATCTTATCCTGCCTGCCGCTACGGTGCGGAAGGGAGCGTAGGGAGCAACTGAGCAAGGGAACGCACTCGCAATGAGGCAGGTAACGCCGGGCGGTGCGCCGCGGGACCACATCCGAGCCGGCGGAAGCCGATGATAGGCGGGGCGCCGCGGGGCCGGTTTGACGCGGGCGCAGCGGGGTGGAGCCTCCCTCACACACAGCTGCCTCGTACGTCTAGTCACTGTCACTGCAAGTACTTTTGTATCTTTGTATCTTTGTAGGCCTGGTAGAGTAATAGTGGGAGACACAGTTCGTGACCGGGATGGAGCGAGGGATGCCCTGGTCTGCGTTAGTCGGCTGACTTGGCTGAACTTCCGGACGAGACGTAAACGTCGGGGCGCCTGTGTGATCTTGTCTTGGCTGTTGGCTCTGCGGGTGATGGTGTTGTCGATGGTGTTCATGCGCCGCCCGCAGTAAGGGTCCGGCATCCTTCCAGGTAGTGCACTACTTTGTTAGCTAAGATTGTGCGTGTCTCTCTCGGTCCGTGGAGGATGTGTCGAGTACGCCTTCTTTTCAGCTGTGCAACTGCGTTATCAACTCCGAGTGAACCAGCCACCGCTACCTAGTAGTTCTTCCATGGCCAGAATCCCACCTTATCTGCTGCATGTCACCAGGAAATCAAACTCTATCAAACAGAAACGTCCCTCCACCTTCCATTCCCGTCGCACCCGTGTCCCGCAAAACCCGAACAACCGCACCGTGACCCCTCGCAGCCGCGCCCTGCAACGCCGTCTGCCCACCACCACCACCACCACCACCAGTCCATCCGCCAGATCCAGCGTCGATCTCGGCCCCGGCATCCAGCAGCATCTCGCACACGCGAATGTGACCCCCCTCCGCCGCCGCATGCAGCGCCCTCCCGCCCTTGAACCTGCTCCCCTCGGCATTCACATCCGCCCCGGCGCCCAGCAGCGTCGCGACCATCCCCTCGTCTCCGTGAAACGCCGCCACCTGCAGCGCCGTGAAGCCCTTGTGCCGACACGCAGGCGCGTTCACATCCGCCCCGTGATCTATCAGTAGTGTCCTAACTAACTCCGCGAACCCGTGCGCCGCCGCGGCCTGCAGCGCCGTCCTCCCCGCCGTCTTGGCCGGTGCCGCGTTCACGTCCGCCCCGTGATCCAGCAGCAGCGCGACCACGTCAGCCAGCCCCGCGGAGCACGCAGACTGCAGCGCCGTCGCGCCGCAGTACCTCGTCGCCGGCGCGTTCACGTCGGCCCCCTTATCGAGGAGCATCCTGACGATTGAAATGTCCGGCTGCCCGCTCGCGATTTGTAGCGCATTGCGCGCGTCGTTGTTGCCGGGGGCAGCGTCGACGTCCGCACCGGCGTCGAGGAGTGCCCATACCACATCGGCGTGCGATGCCAGGCAGGCCGCCTGGAGCGCGGTGCGGCCGTAGTACCCCTGCGGCGGGGCGTTGATGTCGGCGCCGGCTGCAAGGGCTGTCCGTACCGCGGTGAGGTCGCCGTCGCGGGAGGCCTTTTGGAGCGGCGTCCAGCAATCATCCTCGTCCGGCTGTGTATCTTCTGAGATTTCCTCCTCCATGAGGCACTGCATGTTCAAGGGATGAGGTAGATAAGTTGTCACCGCGAAGACAATAAGCGGGGGGTGATATTTAATGTAGTTCGGTTTTGCATGGGTGACGGAAATGCGGCACAGCCGGCAGCTCGTATCAAAAGTTCCTCGGATTACTGGACAAAGTGCGAGGTGTCGAGGTTGATGCTATATTGTTATTCTGTGAAGCTACGCCCTTTGATGCACATTATGACGACTGACGCCCTAATCTTCAGTCTCCTTCTTCTTCTTGGACTCGCTCTTCTTTTCCGGCTCTCCCTTCTTCGGCTCATTTTTGGAGCCGGCCTCATTCTCATAATCACCTCCCTGCTTCTCATACTCTTTGGCAAGCTTGGATGCCTTGGTAATCGTTAGTGGTTGGCCCATGATCATATTGCAATATGCAGACTTACCTTCCATGCTGACCACTGCCCCTCGCCGCCGCCAGACTTATTAGGCTCTTGCTTGATTTCTATGATCAAAATATCAGTCTGGTGCTCTCAGATATCGTGGCTCCTCATCACTCTCACCTTCCTTGATCTCCTCCCTCAGCTCAGGATCAGTGGGCTTTCCCTTTGACGAAGGCATCTTGTTGGCAGTATATGTTGAAAAGTTGCTTGTGCGGTTGGTTATTTGAGAGGTCCAATGTGACAATTGAAGCCGAGCTTGCTGTTGGTTGAAACTTCGCATCATCTTTACAAGAGACGAATTGGCCATTTTTGAACTCAATAACAGGTGTTAACAAAGCGCTGCATCATAGCTCTAAAACAAGTTGACAGAACAGACGATGACGCTCAATGACGCCTACATCGCCAGCCACTCCCGCTGCCATGGAACCGCTAACGGACCGGTAGGACCCACTCCCAGGTCCGTGCCGTCCCGGCCGCTCGGTGCGGGAGCCCACGCTCGCGGTGCCTTCACAGGCCATCAAGGTCCCTCTTGCAGCATATCCCGTCTCAGTCTAAATCGCAAAACTTTTGTATTCCTTCCGTGATACTCTATCTAGACGTCTAAGCATAAAGACCTTCTCTGGGTCCGTGTCATGTCATCATGATCCTGCGCCATCTCTCCATCATGACACCGGAAATGATCCCAATTAGTGAATCGAAACCGGCTCAAACTCGACACCCTCCTCGACCGCCTCGCCATCCATGATACCGTGCACATACGCCGTACCCACGATGCGTCTCAGCCCCTCCCGCTCATCGCTCTTCCTCAGCACAAACGGCGCGTTGCATCCCTTCATGACCCAAACCTCGTCACCAGCCTCACATCCATCAGGCACCATGGCAACGTACTTCTCACCCTTGGCCAGCACCAGATCCAGCGCGGAGCGCGTGGTGAAGACGCGGTTGATCAGAATCTGCGCCGCCGCCACGAGCGCCTCATTGGCCTCCTCCGCCGAGCGCTCCGCCAGCTCGATCTCGCGGCGCAGCACGTCGCGCTCCGCCCGCTCGGGGTCGAGGTCGTCCTCCTCCTCGACGGCCGTGCAGAAGCGGTACGCCAGCTTCAGCGTCGCCATCGGGACCTCGTCCTCCTCCGCCTCGGCTCGGAAGAAAGTAAGCGTCCGCAGCACGGCTTCCAGCCCGGACTCGCCCGTCGGGTACGTCGCCTTCTCGAAGCCCGGGATCTTCTCGAGGATCTTGGAGAGCGTGAGGATGTCCTTCTTGACCCAGATGGAGGGCCGGTCGGCGTGCAGGTGCGCCGCGCGGGGGACGCCGCTCATCTGCGCGAGGGTGTCTACCTTGACGCCCTTGAGCAGGAGGACGTCCTCGTCGTCGTTGGGATCGAAGCCGAAGTCGAAGTCGGTCTCGCCCGCGGCCTCGGACTCGGCGGCGTCGGCGACGGTCATGCGGTGCCAGGGGCGGCGGAAGTCCGGTAACCAGGAAGGAAACTTGTTAGCGCTTCCGTTGAGGTGCTCCACGATGCCGGCGTGATCGAGGAGCTCCTCGCTGAAGGGCTCGTGGAACAGGGTGCGGCCGAAACGGAGGGCTGTCTCTTCGAACTTCTCCGAGTAGTCGGGGCGGAACTCTTCTCTGTCGCCGTCGGCGGCCAGGCCGAGGAGGGCGAAGTAGTAATCGCGCGGGTCAGCGGCCTCGACCTCGCGGAAGGAGAGGAGCAGGCTGAGAAGCTCCGTGGAGCGCTTCGGGTCGTCATCCTCGTCTTCAGACTCCCACTCTCCTTCGCTGCCTTCAGCGGCCTCTTTGCCGTGGTCATGTCCGTCGTGATCGTGCTCATGCTCGCCGTCTCCACCGCAGCAGCCATCTCCGTGCTCATGATCATGCTCATCGTCGTCACCACAGCATCCGTCTTCCTTGGCATTTCCTCTCATAGCACCAAGCTGGTAGAACCGCAGTCTCTGAGCCATGTTCGCCATCAAATCCGCCGCGCTCTCCACCTCCTCGCCCTTCTCATCAATCAGCGGCCAGGGCGGGCTCTCGGGCTCCTCCAACGCAATCGTAGCAGGCCAAAGCTGCGCCCAGTTCACCGTCTTCTCTCCGCAAATCATCAACACATCCCTCGCCAGGATGAACTCCTGCACGATCCACACCCTCTTGAACCAAGCCCGGTTCCAGAACCGGGACACAGCCAGCCAGCGCTTGTCGCCCTCAGCCGGCAGCTCCGCCTCCGCGCCGGTCGGCGCATCAGGAACGGGCTTGCCGAGCGAATCCTCCAGAAACGCGCGCGCGCCGGCGTTGAGCTCCTTGGGGATGCTGACGCGCCAGTATCTCTCAATCAGGTCCATCGCATCGCTGCTGCCGTCGGCCTCCTCGCCAAGGTAGGCCAGCGTGCGGCCCGCGCTGACGTAGACGTCGTGCATGAGCATGACCTGCGCCTGCTTCTCGGCGGTGTCGGCCTGGTTGATGCACAGCGCATCGACCCAGAGCTGGCGCGGGCGGTCTTGGAGGCGCACGCGCTTCAGGCAGGTGAAGAGGTTCTCTGTGATGGACACCTCGGTGGATGAGATGGTGATGCTGCGCGGGGTGTCGTTGGAGCCCCAGACGTAAGAGACGGCCTCGTAGGAGTCGGCCGACTCGGGGAGTTCGCCATCGTGCTTGGAGGCCTCGTCGATGTAAGGGTCGATAGGGCAGACGATAAGCTCACCCTTGAGGGGTTCGTCGAATTTTCCGGGTGCGAGCGAGAGGATTCGGAAATCCCGCTCGCCGAGGGCCGTGTAGTCAAATCCAGCCATGGCTAGAGAAAAAAGTCGAAGAATCACTCAGCTAAAGGCTTGCTGGGAGTAATTTTCGATTTTTTGGTGGATGTGAGGGGTGACTGAGTAAGGTGAAAATTCAGCGTTTGGTTTTGGAGATGTGGAGTGAAGTTGGAGATGAGGTCCAAGAAAACGCTGCATGAAGATTCCCACAGTGGGTGAAATGATTTTCATTGGGGGCAAGTGCTAAGCAGACGTAAACAAGCCACGACCTGGTGGACTGAAAAAAGTGTGTGTAGACATTTTTCTCATCATGATTGGAATTTTATTTCCAAGTCGATATTACACTTTGCCTTTTTGTGGTGGTTTTGTCGATTATCGGCGGTTTTAAAAGCATCGACAAAATTCAATTTTCATGGTAAATCAATCAGTCTCAATACAAGCACAATGCAAATCATCGTCATATTCATCAAAAATATCTGAGATGGAATTCTTTTCATTCACAAGGCCCTCTCAGTTCCTCTCATCGTACATCTAGTCCAAACTCCGACAAAGGAAACTCGTCATCATACACAAACAGCCTCTACAGACCGAGAGCCGTGTTAAAGGCATCAGCAGCCGCCTGGCCCTGCAATCCCTGGGCGTCAGCCTGTCCCTGCTCACACGCAGCAACAGCGTCGTCGGAAGCCTGGCACCTCGACGACAGCTGTCCGCAGATGAAGCTGCTAATGATGTTGATGTTCAGCGCCGAGCCGTGCTCAAAGTCGCCGGCGGGGCCGAAGGACGCCTCCTTGCGCCCGTCAAGGCCGGCGGCGAAGTCGATGCTGGGGTCCTGGCACTCGCCAAAATCGAGGTTCTGGCGGGTCTTGATGGCGTTGCTGGCGATGCGCATCTTGCGGCCCTCGGAGCCGACGCTGGAAGAGCGGCGGAGCTTCTTGAGGGAGGCGGCGGCCAGGCAGTCGTCCTCCTGCGCGTCGCAGTCGGCAACGGTGATGTCTTCGGAGCCGGAGTTCGCGGCGTCAGCGCAGGCGTTGTGTTGCACGGCGCAGGAGCGCTGGAGGGCGGCGCCGGCATTGACGAAGGTGGCGCCGTTGACGGAGAAGGGCTTGTCGGAGGCGGCGTCAGAGGTGACCGGGGGAGGGGGGCCGCCGAGGTCGCCGGTGAAGGTCTGCACGTCGGTTCCGGTGGCGGCATCATTGCCTCCGTTGTTGGCGTTGCCAGCGTTTCCGTTGTTAGCGTTTCCATTGTTGTTCTGGTTGCCGTTCTGGTTGTTCTGGTTGTTGCCGTTCTGGTTCTGGTTACCATTCTGGTTGTTCTGGTTGCCGTTGTTGCCAGTGTTGTCATCGGCAGTATCATCAGCGGCGTCATCAGCGACGTCATCAGCAGCATCATCGGCATTGCCGTTGTTGTTCTGGTTTCCGTTCTGGTTGTTGTTGGCGTTGCCGTTGCCGTTGCCCGTAGCATCAGCAGCATCGTCGGCGTTGTTGTTCTGGTTGTTGCCGTTGGCGTTGTTGTTCTGGTTACCGTTGGCGTTCGCATTGCCGCCGTTTCCAGCAGACTGGACAGCATCAGCAGTCTCGTTGGCAGCGGCAGCATTGCCGTTGGCGTTGGCGTTGTTCTTGTTGCCGCGGCGGAACTTATCAGCAACAGCCGTAGCATTGGCAGATGCTCCTGCATCAGCGGCAGCGTCCTTGTTCTTGTTGCCGCGACGGACCTTGTCAGCGACGGCGGTGGCGTTGGCAGAAGCATCGGCACCGGTAGCGGCGTCTTGGTTCTTCTTTCCACGGCGGTTCAGGAGAGTCGCACGGCGGAGTCTGAGTTTGGTGACGGCGGTAGAGTTGCTGGCTGCACGGTGTTGAAGTTAGTCACGATGTAAGATGGTTTGGTTCTGGAACTGAAAGAATCTTACCCGCTCCGTCGGCACCGTCAACGGCAGCCTGGATCTCCTCTGGGGTGGCATCTTGGACGAGGAGGTTCTGGGAGAAGATACATCCCTCAGCATCATCGGCGTCGTCGCAAGTGTTGCCCGCACCAGTGTTGTCGTTCGGCTACAATATCATCAGCACTCAATCTCCATCACAGTCCAGCATTACAAATACTCACGTCACCAGGCTCGAAAGTGCCCGAGTCAAGCGCCAGCATGGGGTCAGCCCCAACAGCAGCAAGCTGCCTCGCCAGCTCCAGCGTAATCTCCTTGTTCGTCGCAGCAGCGCCCTCGGAAGCAGGGTCCTGGTGCTGGGTAAGAGCAGCAATCTCGGGGTTCTGCGCAGTCTCGTCGCACAGCACGCTCTTCAGGCCGACGGAGCCCGTGTTACGCTCCACGGCGCGGAAGACGAGCGCGCTCGCCATGCCGTCGACGTCGTTGGCCGCCTTGGCGGCGGTGAAGGCCGAGTCGGCGGTGGCCTGGTGCAGACAGTCGAGGTTTGTGACGTCG